ATACGTATAAAAAATATATTTCATTTTTCTAACCTAGCCGCGGGGATTTTTCATAATTTTTTTGAAAGTTGAGTTTCAAAATTCCAACTCCTCATTCTTTCCATTGTTGCTTCCGATCTATTCTTTGCTCTAACCGAGTATCGAGTAATTTCATTTTCTTCTCCATTAAATACTAAATTTTAAGATTCATGAGCTAGAATCTAACAATTATTTCTAAAAAGTAATCTACCAATAATAACACTGATCGATCATACCTTCTTTCTCTTGTAGCAAGGATTTCGCTCCCATTTCAAAAGACATTCCATCTTCAGTGTCACTTTCTCTATCATTTTTATCTTTATTATATAAAGTATCATCGAAAATTGAAGTTGCAGAGAGCCAAATTTCCCTATCAATGAATCTCCAGTGTTTATGAATCCTGAACCAAATACGTTTTATTTAGCGAAGACATGTAATTTGAAATCTGAGCAACTTCAAGCAAAATATTAATTGAAATATTTACTCATTGAAACACTATATACATCAAATATTCTTTGAGTGGTCAAATTTGCATTGAGAACTTACTTTGTTCTGTAATTGAGACATGCTTGAAATCAAACTACCAGATATTTTGGTGGTTGCCGATATGTAACCACTACCAAATGTTCTAGTGTTCTGACTAGTCGAAGTTAGATTGTCACTAAGATTTTTCTTGTTCGCTATTTCGGCACCAACTCCTAAGTTGGAAGTTTTATTTGAATCCTCTGTAAAACATTGCGATGATTCTTATATTGTTGAACCGTTTTCGCCCAAACCTTCCGTGTTATCAACTTTGATATCTGACTTTACGGTAGGTGAATTATCGACTTGTTTTACTTCCAACTCATATGATTTCTCTGCATTTTCAGAACTGTCATTAGCCACCTTACTGGAATCGAATTTGTAAGCCTCATTCCTCTGTGCTAGCTTGATGACTGTGAAACTTTAGTGCCTTAACAACATGGGTTTATCATTATTTTTTGTTTCAGAATAAATTACGAAACTCTCGTGCCTTGGAATCGATTCCACCTGCATATTATTTGTAACCATCTTGGTAAGTTTCCAGGGTATGCTAGTTTCCTTTCCTGTTTCAACTTCGTTGTCTACGTACAATTCGGTCGCCGCATGCTTTTTTGATGAGTTGACCGGCAAAATTCCACCTTTGCTGGGAGCAATGTTTTTTGACACCGATTTTTCGTTACCAGATGTATCACTAGATCCCTCAGCAATTTCACCGTTGTCGCCAAGCGGTGCCATTGATGGGGTTCATTGGCTGATAAGTCAACATTAATGACTCCTGAAGACTCTCGTTCTCCGTTACCATGTGCATTGACTTTCATTGTCTCCACTCTTTCCACAAGTAAAATCTAGCCCCTTTTTTTTCATTTCATAAATTACTTTCAGAGTAAATAATAATTGTCGCCGCCTGGTGTCCTCGGAAAATCCTCCTCTATGTTTCAGCAACTTTGTCATGTCACCCTGATCAATTCAGATTTTCCTCAGTAAAATTTGTAAAACATCGAATTATAAAAAAATCCTACTTCTTTTTTGATCGAACTGTCATTTTGTCGCTTTCAATTTGAGTTTGAAAGAAAAAATAAAATAAAAGGAATAAGTTGAAGGAGTAGGAAAAAAAGAAAAAAAAAACTTTCAAGTATGCATAAAATAACTACCACTAAGGTCTCTGTTTCAGCAATTTCGAGTGCGCCTTCACGTTCCCTCTTACGTTTACACCCTTTATATATTTAATACTTGTCTTTCATTCATATTTCAGCATTCACTTTCTCAACGTGCAAGAGCTTAGGCCAATATATTAAAAGCAAGACAATTTAATAAGTAAAAAAAATAATTTCAATGTTTAATAGTTATAGAATCAATACTTAATGCCTTCGTTCATTGCCAAAATTATGTGTGCTTCTTGATTGTCTACCAAGCACAGAATTTATAAAGTAAAACGCAAAGTTTCTGATTTTTTTTGTCTTACCTTTTCCGAATTTGTATTCGTGGTTTCAAATCCAAAATTGGCCTATCATAATAAAGCCCGCTATACTATATACAGTATGTATTAACATTTGCATATATTGCTATACATACTATAAAACGAAAAAATAAAGATAAAAAACAAAAAGGCTCGCTGATGGCAATTCAGAAGAAAGAGATATGCCTTGCGTTAATTCAGAAACCATGACCTAAACAAAATAACTTGGCGGAGCAGTATAGAGTCATGCAAAATACAATTTCTAATATTTGGTGCAATAAAGATAAATGGCTTTCTATCAATGATAATACACCTTTATCTAAGAAAAAGAAAATCCGACCCTTATCCTATCCCCAAATTGAATCTGCATTAGCTATCTGGCTTAATATAGCAGTTAACAACCATATTACTATCACTACTGATGTTTTTAAGCAGAAAGCAAAGGATTTTGCTGTTCACTTTGACATTAATTATTTTACAGGGTCAGCTGGCTGGATCTCAGGTTTTAAACATCGTTATAATATACAGTCATACTTAAAATCTGGTGAAGGGGACAGTGCTTCTCAAAAAAGTCTCGAAGAAGAATGTGCAAAGTTGCATGATATAATAAGTAATTATGATCATCAAGATATATTCAATTGCGACGAAACTGGTAAGTATTTATATTAATTTATTCTTACCAGCTATTATTTACAGGTTCTATTGTG